GGTCTCTGACCTGCCTGGAGTCTCCCTACTGAATAAGGAGGGACTCTTCTGGAAGGGGGAACAAAATGGTACCCAAGGAGGTCCAGTCCCTGGTGTTAGGTTACTGCCATGACCATCCCCTAGCGGGGCACTTTGGGATACATAAGACTATAGATCTGGCACGACGCACATTTTGGTGGCCAAACATGGCCAAGGATTGTGAAGCGTACGTGAGATCTTGCCCCATCTGCAACCGGAATAAACCTACCAGAGACAAGGCCTGGGGCCTATTGAGACCTTTACCAATACCTGACCGTCCCTGGAGTATGATCTCCTTAGATTTTATTGTAGAATTGCCACCCTCGCAAGATCACACCGTGATCTTTGTGGTAGTGGATCGCCTTTCTAAAATGGCCCATTTCCTTCCACTAGCCAAGACACCATCTGCCTCCGAAACAGCCCAAGTGTTCATTAGAGAGATTGTGAGGCTTCACGGAGTGCCAAGAGAGATTGTCTCAGACCGGGGGGGTGCAATTTACGTCCAAATTCTGGAAAGCGCTATGTGAGGGGCTGGAGATTAAGTTATCTTTTTCGTCAGCATATCACCCCCAGACAAACGGGCAGACAGAACGAACCAATCAGACTCTCGAGCAATATCTGAGATGCTACACATCATTCCTGCAGAATGACTGGCTGACACTTCTACCAATGGCAGAATTTGCATATAACAATGCGAATCATTCTGCCACCAACCAATCCCCATTCTTTGCCAATTATGGGTTCCATCCTACCTTCCTGCCAGACCTGGTTCCTGAGAACTCAGTCCCGGCAGCCCAGGACACCTTAGAGTTCTTTACTACCAATAACAAGGTATTACAGGAAACAATGGCTAAGGCCCAAGAAGACAGTAAAAGGTTTTGTGACAGGAGGAGGAAGGGAGAGTTGGTCATACACCCTGGGGATCGGGTTTGGTTGTCAACAGCCAACCTAAAACTGACATTCCCATCCAGAAAATTGGCACCCAAATTTGTGGGACCTTTCCCAGTAGAACGCAAGGTTAATGAAGTGGCATTTAAACTGACTCTCCCCGAGTCCCTCAAAATACATCCAGTCTTCCACGTATCATTATTAAAACCTGCAGTTCCAGACCCCTTTTTAGACCGCAGGTCTAGACCTCCAGAAGCTATAGATATCAACGGGGAGGAGGAATTCGAGGTGGAGGCAATTTTGGATTGTAGGAAGAGGGGTGGTCAGGTACAATACCTGATCAAGTGGAAAGGCTTTGGGCCGGAGGAGAATTCGTGGGAACCAGCCCAGAATGTCCATGCCCCCAGATTAGTACGAGAATTCCGTCATAGCCAGCCACAAAGGAGGAATCGGGTGGGCATCCGGAGGCTGCCCGTAAGGGGGGGGCAATGTCAGGGAATGGGAAGATCGCCTCGGCGATCGAATCTGCACATGCGTAGAATCCTGACAAGACATAGAGGCAGGCAGGCACTAGGACCCAGGCGCGCCTGTCACCGATGACGGCGCCGGGCAGGCACTAGGACCCAGGAGCGCCTGTCAGGAGTTGGGCGGCCTATTTAAACCCAGCTCTTGCAATGCTCAAGTGCCGTATGGTCTTACCTGTTACCTGTGTTCCTGTTTTGATCCAGTGTTCCTGAATACCTTGTTGCCGACCCAGCCTGTTCCTGATACTGCTGTCTTCTCCTGCTCTGATCCCTGGCTTGTCTGACCATTCTCCTGCTTAACCCGCACGTTCTGATCTCCTGTTAACGAACCCGGCTTGTGACCAGTTTATTCCTCTGCCTGCTGATTTTGTACCACGCTGCCACCACTGTTACCGACCCAGCCTGCCTGACGCTGCTCTTGTGACCTCCTCACATCAGACTCTCACCTGCTATACACCTCCAACGGTGCTTCTACCACAGCTGGGTGAACTCAAGGGCCGCGACCTGGTCTCGGCCTGCTCCAAGTCCATCCCCACCATCAGGGGCCCTGGTGAACAAGCAGGTAGGGACTTAGATTCCGCGCCTTGGGGAATCCGGTCTGTGGAGTGCTAGAGGCTACCGCTGTAGGATCCCTGACATGTGCAGGGCGCAACGGTGTCACGCTGTGCTGCACCTGGTATGCCTTGGCGAACGTAGTCACACAGGGGAGGAACTTCTGAGTGTAATGAACAGAGAAATCGACAGATGGCTGTCTCCGCGCAAACTGAAATTCGGAACCATGTTGACCGACAGGGTCCCTAACGGAAAGAACATGGTGTCTGCTCTGCGTCAAGGAATGTTGTGCCATGCGCGCCATGCATGGCTCACGTGTTCAATCTGGTTGTCAAGCGGTTCCTAAAATCCACCATCCCACTGCAAGACATCCTTAAAATGTCACGTAAACTTTGCATGCATTTCAGCCATTCCTACACCGCCAAAGCACACCCTCCTTGAGCTGCAGCGGCAGAACGGAATTCCACAGCATCGCCTGATCTGCAACGTTGCAACAAGGTGGAATTCAACCCTACATATGTTAGACCCGCCTTTACGAACAGCGAAAGGCCATCACCGATTTCCTGATGTTACAAGCGGATAAAGGTAGCTCCCCTGTGTAACTTAGATGTCAGCCATTGGCAGCTCATGCGTTGACACCTGCCTGCCGCTTGCTAAGGCCCTTTGAGGAGGCCACGCTATTCGCGAGTCGGCGGAGTTTGGCAGGACTATGGGATGAACGATGTCATTCCTCTGTTGCACGTCCTGGAACAAATGCTGTTAACAATGGCTGGTCAGGGTGCGGTAGACGTGGCGCACACAGATCTCAACGCCACATGATCCCCTGTGGGAGCAGGACAGGTAAGAAGAGGAGGAGGTAGAGGAGGACATTTTTGCTCAGGAATTATTGAGTGAATTGGGTGGTTTTTCCACTCAGCGGACAGGAGTGGAGGAGCAGGAGCATCTGGTAGAGGAGGAGGAGACAGAGGACCCAGACGCACCGTGGCAGTATGCTGTGGAGATGGAGGCAGGGAGTCCCTCGCATTCCTTGGCACAAATGGCCCATAGCATGCTCGGTTGCTTTGCGTAGCGACAGCCGAATAATAACCATCAGACAGAGGGATGACTTTTGGCTGTCCACCTTGTTGGACCCTCGCTACCGTTTTCAAAAATGGTGGCCTTTTTCACAACTGCTGAGAGGGAGGCCAAAATAACCGTACTATAAAAACCACCTATGTAGTCAGTTGGTCTCTGCCTTTCTGCGCCAACGTCCATCCTCAAGACACTGTGGGCCCTGTGCGCTCTGCGTTCCGCTGCCATGGCAGCAGGGGAGGGGTGGGGTGGTAGGAGCAGTGGCAGCTCCACCAGCAGCGGCTGCCTCAGTCTGCAGTCGATGATGAGTAGCTTTCTTCACCAGCGCAGTGAGGAAACTACTAACCAGCCGCAGCAGCAGCAGCATCAGGTGGACCTGGAGCAGGACCTTGTCAAAACAAACAGCCTTGGGCCTCTTGTGACAGCACCCCCTGCCAACCGAGGTAGACAATCCCCTTGACTACTGGGGCAACGAAACTTACCTTTGGCCCCAATTGTAGCTGAATTTGCCCTTGAAAGGCTGTCATGCCCGGCCAGTAGCGTGGCATCGGAGCTGGCGTTGTTTAGTGCGGGCAGGAGGTATTGAAAACTCCGCGGAGGACACGACTGTCCACCCAAAAGTGTGGAGAGACTCCGTTTGTGAAAATGAATCAGGGCGTGGATTCGTCTGGATTTCAAACCACCAGTTCCTGACACAACTGACTAAATTCCGCCATGAATCATGCCCCAAACATGTGCCACTTTTCAGGTCTCCTCACACTGCTGGACTGGGTGTGTTCCATTTTTTGTCATAGGGTGCTGGCAGATTACGGGCCCTCCTATTGCTGCTGCCAGGCCCATATATCTGCCATGGGCCCCTGTACCGCCTCCTCATGCTGCTGCCAGGTCCACGGTGTCTCATGGGTCCCTGTACGGCCTCCCATTGCTGCTGTCTCCATCGCCACACTCTGCCATGTGCCACTTTCAGGTCTCCTCACACTGCTGGTGTGTTCCATTTTTTGTCATAGGGTGCTGGCAGATTACGGGCCTCCCACTGCTGCTGCCAGGCCCGTAATCTGCCATGGGCCCCAGTACCGCCTCCTCATGCTGCTGCCAGGTCCAGAGTCTCTCATGGGTCCCTGTACGGTCTCCCATTGCTGCTGTCTCCATCGCCACACTCTGCCATGTGCCACTTTCAGGTCTCCTCACACTGCTGGTGTGTTCATTTTTTGTCATAGGGTGCTGGCAGAATTACATGGGCCTCCCATTGCTGCTGCCAGGCCCGTAATCTGCCTACGGGCCTCCCATTGCTGCTGCCAGGCCCGTAATCTGCCATGGGCCCCAGTACCGCCTCCTCATGCTGCTGCCAGGTCCAGAGTCTCTCATGGGTCCCTGTACGGCCTCCCATTGCTGCTGTCTCCATCGCCACACTCTGCCATGTGCCACTTTCAGGTCTCCTCACACTGCTGGTGTGTTCCATTTTTTGTCATAGGGTGCTGGCAGATTACGGGCCTCCCATTGCTGCTGCCAGGCCCGTAATCTGCCATGGGCCCCAGTACCGCCTCCTCATGCTGCTGCCAGGTCCAGAGTCTCTCATGGGTCCCTGTACGGCCTCCCATTGCTGCTGTCTCCATCGCCACACTCTGCCATGTGCCACTTTCAGGTCTCCTCACACTGCTGGTGTGTTCCATTTTTTGTCATAGGGTGCTGGCAGATTACGGGCCTCCCATTGCTGCTGCCAGGCCCGTAATCTGCCATGGGCCCCAGTACCGCCTCCTCATGCTGCTGCCAGGTCCCAGAGTCTCTCATGGGTCCCTGTACGGCCTCCCATTGCTGCTGCCTCCATCGCCACACTCTGCCATGTGCCACTTTCAGGTCTCCTCACACTGCTGGTGTGTTCCATTTTTTGTCATAGGGTGCTGGCAGATTACGGGCCTCCCATTGCTGCTGCCAGGCCCGTAATCTGCCATGGGCCCCTGTACCGCCTCCTCATGCTGCTGCCAGGTCCACAGTGTCTCATGGGTCCCTGTACGGCCTCCCATTGCTGCTGTCTCCATCGCCACACTCTGCCATGTGCCACTTTCAGGTCTCCTCACACTGCTGGTGTGTTCCATTTTTTTGTCATAGGGTGCTGGCAGATTACGGGCCTCCCATTGCTGCTGTCAAGCCCGTAATCTGCCATGGGCCCCCGTACCGACTCCTCATGCTGTGACGTTGCAACAAGGTGGAATTCAACCCTACATATGTTAGATCGCCTTTACGAACAGCGAAAGGCCATCACAGATTCCTGATGTTACAGAGCGGATAAAGGTGCTCCCCTGTGTAACTTAGATGTCAGCCATTGGCAGCTCATGCGTGACACCTGCCGCTTGCTCAGGCCCTTTGAGGAGGCCACGCTATTCGTGAGTCGGCAGGACTATGGGATGAACGACGTCATTCCTCTGTTGCACGTCCTGGAAAAAATGCTGTTAACAATGGCTGGTCAGGGTGCGGTAGACGTGGCACACAGATCTCAACGCCACATGACCCCTGTGGGGGCAGGACAGGAAGAAGAGGAGGAGGTAGAGGAGGACATTGGTGCTCAGGAATTATTGAGTGAAATGGGTGGTTTTTCCACTCAGCGGACAGGAGTGGAGGAGCAGGAGCATCTGGTAGAGGAGGAGGAGGAGGAGACAGAGGACCCAGACGCACCGTGGCAGTATGCTGTGGAGATGGAGGCAGGGAGTCCCTCGCATTCCTTGGCACAAATGGCCCATAGCATGCTCGGTTGCTTGCGTAGCGACAGCCGAATAATAACCATCAGACAGAGGGATGACTTTTGGCTGTCCACCTTGTTGGACCCTCGCTACCGTTCAAAAATGGTGGCCTTTTTCACACCTGCTGAGAGGGAGGCCAAAATAACGTACTATAAAAACCACCTATGTAGTCAGTTGGTCTCTGCCTTTCTGCGCCAACGTCCATCCTCAGACACTGTGGGCCCTGTGCGATCGCGTTCCGCTGCCATGGCAGCAGGGGAGGGGTGGGGTGGTAGGAGCAGTGGCAGCTCCACCAGCAGCGGCTGCCTCAGTCTGCAGTCGATGATGAGTAGCTTTCTTCACCAGCGCAGTGAGGAAACTACTAACCAGCCGCAGCAGCAGCAGCATCAGGTGGACCTGGAGCAGGACCTCAAACAACAGGCTTGGGCCTACTTGGACAGCACCCTGCCAACCGAGGTAGACAATCCCCTTGACTACTGGGCAACGAAACTTGACCTTTGGCCCCAACTAGCTGAATTTGCCCTTGAAAGGCTGTCTTCATGCTGCTGCCAGGTCCACAGTGTCTCATGGGTCCCTGTACGGCCTCCCATTGCTGCTGTCTCCATCGCCACACTCTGCCATGTGCCACTTTCAGGTCTCCTCACACTGCTGGTGTGTTCCATTTTTTTGTCATAGGGTGCTGGCAGATTACGGGCCTCCCACTGCTGCTGCCAGGCCCGTAATCTGCCATGGGCCCCAGTACCGCCTCCTCATGCTGCTGACCTGGAGCAGGACCTCAAACAACAGGCTTGGGCCTACTTGGACAGCACCCTGCCAACCGAGGTAGACAATCCCCTTGACTACTGGGCAACGAAACTTGACCTTTGGCCCCAACTAGCTGAATTTGCCCTTGAAAGGCTGTCATGCCCGGCCAGTAGCGTGGCATCGGAGCGCGTGTTTAGTGCGGCAGGAGGTATTGAAACTCCGCGGAGGACACGACTGTCCACCCAAAGTGTGGAGAGACTCACGTTTGTGAAAATGAATCAGGCGTGGATTCGTCTGGATTTCAAACCACCAGTTCCTGACACAACTGACTAAATCCGCCATGAATCATGCCCCAAACATGTGCCACTTTCAGGTCTCCTCACACTGCTGGTGTGTTCCATTTTTTTGTCATAGGGTGCTGGCAGATTACGGGCCTCCCATTGCTGCTGCCAGGCCCGTAATCTGCCATGGGCCCCCGTACCGCCTCCTCATGCTGCTGCCAGGTCCAGAGTCTCTCATGGGTCCCTGTACGGCCTCCCATTGCTGCTGTCTCCATCGCCACACTCTGCCATGTGCCACTTTCAGGTCTCCTCACACTGCTGGTGTGTTCCATTTGTCATAGGGTGCTGGCAGATTACGGGCCTCCCATTGCTGCTGCCAGGCCCGTAATCTGCCATGGGCCCCTGTACCCGCCTCCTAATGCTGCTGCCAGGTCCAGAGTGTGTCATGGGTCCCTGTACGGCCTCCCATTGCTCTGTCTCCATCGCCACACTCTGCCATGTGCCACTTTCAGGTCTCCTCACACTGCTGGTGGGTTCCATTTTTGTCATAGGGTGCTGTATGGCCTCCCATTGCTGCTGCCTCCACCGCCACACTGTGGCTCCACACTCTGGTTTTAGCCCCGTGACTGCCCAAATGAGTGAAGTGTGCGGGATTCTAAGATCGACGGCACTCATCTGCATGTCATACTGACTGACAGTATTATTTCTCTTCCCCAGCAGACTCCAAGGGCATTTAAATTAAAGGTACAGTGTTCTGCACTAATATGAAGGCTCTCTGAAGCCTAGAAACACCCTTTTATAAGTTAAATTCGCAGCGAATATATTCGCATCGAATCAAATTTATTCCTCGAATTCGCCGAATCAGCCGAATCGAATTTTTGAATACTTCGCTCATCTCTAATAACAACCAATAAGAATTTGCCAGCAAAAGTTAAATTCTGATTGCTACTGGTTAGTGCACTTACAGAAGACACTGAAGATGCAAATGTCATATGCCTGACTATTTGGGAGTATTGCATGGCCTCAAAACGTTGCAATGGCACCGATTGTGAAACGATCCTTTGAATACATGTTTGAACTATATGTTAAAGATCCATGGTGTTTTGGCTATATATATTCTTGTCTATAGATTGAGCTGGTACAGTGAACAAACAGCATGTCATACGGAATGAGCCAATGCATGGCATACTCAGCGGAACCAAACTCATCAATCTAACCATTTCCCAAAACAGTTGCATTACAGGCACACTGCGAATGATAATGCTTTTGCTCTCAACTGGACTGTAAAACCATCAAACGGCTGGTGTCATTATTATTGTTATTATTATTATACAGGATTTATATAGCGCCAACAGTTTGCTCAGCGCTTTACAAAATAACAGGAGACAATACAGCAACAATGCAGTTCAATACAAAAGGGATAGGAGGGCCCTGCTCCTTGGAGCTTACAATCTAGGAGGGAGGGGCTAGTGGTACAAAAGGTAGTAACTGTGAGGATGGACTGGTTGGAAGAGTAGAAGATTCCAGTAGCCTATAGCTGAGGGCAGGATAGGCTTCCCTGAAGAGATAGGTTTTCAGAGATCGTCTAAAAGTGAGCAGAGTAGGCGATAGTCTGATAAATTGGGGTAGAGAGTTCCAGAGAATGGGGGAAGCTCTGGAGAAGTCCTGGATACGAGTATGGGAGGAGGAGACAAGGGAGCTAGAGAGTAGGAGGTCTTGCGAGGAGCGGAGAGTACAGTTTGGGTGATATTTAGAGACAAGATCGGTGATGTAATTTGGGGCAGAGTTATAAATGGCTTAATACATAACTGATCATAACTGATCACATGTGCAGCGCCATGGCAATTGCATATCAAACAGAAGCTAAGATGGAAGATCCCTTAGCTGTAAAGGATAGGAGTGTTTAGTTCTGCTTTACAAATTGCAGCTGTTGTTCAGGCATATAAAAATGCATGATTCCCGCCTCGTTCAGACCTCCACAGTGCGGACCCGAAATTGACTGCAGTGACAGTTAGCAGAAGGCTGCTTTTACTGAACACCAGGAAATCTTCCACTACTTGCTTCCTCTCCCATATTATGCATTACATGAAGTTATCAATCGGAGAGGCAGAGGAAGTAAGTAGTAAAAAACTTCCTGTATCAGCAGTTTATTTACAATTTACAGCAGCAATCAGTGGGTCTATGCTGACAGAGGTCTGGGGGGGGGGGGGGCACAATTTAACTACAAAAGGTGACCCACATACTGTGTGATGAGGAGGGAGAAGTACACCATATGGAACGCCCTCTTTATTCAAACCTTGGACAGCTAACTAACTTGCCCTGATGGCTCTGGTGGCCACATTACAAGGTACACCTTTCTTCTACCTGGTAGGCTACCTTTTGCCTTTAGAATATCCTGAATTCTTTGCAGTACACATTCTGAAAGGTTCTGGAAATGTCCCTTAGTGATTAGATCTTTAGTGAATCTACCATCTGCATTCTGCAGCAAAAATCAAGGCAGATCAGACAAACAACATTTCTACTAGTCTTCAATAATCCATTCCTGATGATCTGTTGTAACCCATGTTCTTTCTTCAAGTGCCAAAGTGATAAAATTTTATAGAGATGTCTTACAACATACCAGTTCTGTAAAGAGTGGGTAAAGCAGTTATGGCTTACTGTCAGCTTGAACAAGTTTAGCTACTCTCCTCTGACCTCTCATATTAATAGGGTGTATTGACCTCTTAAACTCCCATTAACTGAATGTACAGTATTTCTTCTATGCACCATTTACAGTGAACGCTGGAGACTATATTGCAAGGTTCAAGAAATTGATACTGAAGCCTTTCTGTACATCCCAGTTCTGAAGAAGGGTTATTTGAGCAATTGTGGACTTCTTGTCAGCTTGAATGAGAATCGCCTTTATCATTTAACATCTCTCATTAACAAGTAGCTTATCAAATGCTATTCAATTAAAGTTTTTGTTTTTTTGACAGCAATCTATGTAAACCAGCAATCATTTTATTCTGAAAATCACTTTGATCCCTCGTCCAATGTTTGGTCAAACAATACTTAAACGGTGAAGCTAAATATGTATCTCATACATATTGAATGAAAGCTACATGACCATTTGTTGCGCTACTTGTTATTATGAACAGGTTACCTAATAAAATAGTCACTGTGTATGAATAGTAATAAGGTTATTTTTTTTAAACATTGAAATGCGCTATTCTACAGGATCCAAGTTTTAAAATGTTTTTTTTCACAGTAGTTTATTAACCATGTCTTTAAAATCCAGGGTTGTTTTTGAACTGAATGGAAAGTCCATGGCTGTTGAAGTTTAAGATTATTTATAATGTTATAAATCTCCCTTATCTGTAACTATTTAATAAAATAGCATCTTTTAGCCCAGGTTATTTCATGTAAGGTTGTTAGAAGGCAAGTGTATATTGTGCCTATTTTAATTGTATGACCCAATTAAAAATAATGAGGACTGTCTCCAGTTGTCAGTTCTTGTTAGGAATAATAGGACATGATAGGGACTGCCAGAAGGACTGGAGCCACTAATGTAGCAGGAAATGCTGATCCACAAGTCTTCTTGCAGACTTCTGAGACCTTCTTGGAGACTTTCACATAAGGGAAATTTAATGGAAGAAAAACAATGCCATGACAAAAATGTATACAATTGATATTGTTTGTATTATATTTATTACATCACAGTGATGATATATCAACCACTATGGAACAGTATGTTTCACTATTCCCTGATGGAGAGGTACTGGTTTTGTTACATTTTACAAGCCAAAGCACCACAGTGAGCTGCTCACTGGTCGAGCTACGTCTGGCTTTGGCACAGTCAATTATGCTCTCCAATTCTTAATCTCTTTAATGCAACTTGTAGACCAGTTTGGTAATCACTCAGGGTTTAACATTAGTTGGGAGAATCTGTACTGTTTACCTAGATCCCTTCTCCCAGTCGATCCCACCCTTTGTCTAACAAATAAAAATTGTATCTTCCTTTACTTGCCTGGGTGTGCATGTTACCCCTAATGTTCAGGAATATTTAGGCCACAATTTGACACCCCTAATACAAAAATGTAAACAGAAATACGACAGTTGATGCAAATTAACTCTCTTGGTTGTAGACAGAGTTAATTGCATCTAGATTATATAGGTCTTCAACCCTTATGTATTCTGCACAACTCTCCCATATGTTTGTCTCAAAAATGGCACAAAAAGTCTACATTCCCAATTCAGGGAACTAATCTGAAAAAATAAAAATCCAGGAAAAAAAATTACCCACCCCAGAGTTACAAAAAGAGGCTGGCAACCTGGCGTTTCCTAATGCCAAGTAATTTTTTCTGGCAGCACAGCTACAGCACTTGGTTGGATAGCGAGTAGTGACCCAGAAGATGCCATCTGTAGACTCCTATATTTTAAGGCTAGACATACAGTACACAAAATGACACTACTCTCCTCCTTAAAGGTAAAATATGGATGACCATGAAAATGTCTATGTAATATAGAGGCTTTAACTCCTATTGCAGACTCTTACAGATCTGAACCTGGGATCTCTGTGATATCTGCCTGTAGCTCTTCTCGCTGTGCCACCTGAGATTCTGGACAGCTCCTGGTCTGATCCCTTAGACAATCTTGCCTCATATCTTGTTTCTGGTGAACCTTCAGCTCTTTGCTCTTCCCATGAACTTAGATAAAAATATATATGGAGGAGAGCCCCCATAGAAAAAGAAGGTACTCTCATTTGACCCAGATAGTTTTATCGATGCAAAAAAACATTATTGATTCACATATTACACATATATACAAGCATGTACAAAAATTGAAAATAGTCTCCACCCATCACCATTAAAATATGACAACATTGCTGTCCCGAATGCGGGATCGCTGCCACCACTATGTGACGATCCCATGATCGCTGTCACCAATATGTGACGAACGCGGCATCAGACCCCAGCCCTTCTCACCAAACTCGTGACCGAAGGACTAGCCAATATAAAACCGTGATTGGACCACAATTGATGTACCGGCAGCCTGAATGCGATTGTTACTGGGTCAGGTTAATTGCGCAATTAACCCTTCGCACTGCCACCACCTCCTTTTTGTACAGAGAGAGGAAACTCGGCGATATCAGCTATAACACTATAATGGTTGAGATAATCGTCTGTATAAAATGGACACCGCAGGCCGGTTATACAGAGGGTTAAACAAACACAGTAGCGTCTGTTTTAGAGGCAGGAATTAGTAAATTGCAATTAAGGGCTATATAAACAGTTCAACACTTTCAGAAGGAAAGATTTATTACTAAAAGGTCAAACGGGTGCAATAAAAAATATTTACAGAAAAAGATGTAACTAAGATATATATATATAATATATATATATATATATATATATATATAACACACACACACACATACATACATACAGATACATATATACATACATACATACATACAGAGACCACAGCACAGCAAGGAGATATCAGAGAGAGGTGAAAGGGTTAAGGTACTTGCCAAAGTCCTGGGTTAGCAGATCCAAGTTTCAGAGCGAAAGGGCACAGGTCTCCGTAGATGGTACTGATGTTAAAATGGGAGACGTCTTCAATTTTACTCTCTTAGGCCTGACAGCCTATTTTGTAGTCCCCAGCAGGGGGTGTCTCTGAAGTCAAGGACCAATACCCTGTTTAGGGTGTGGAGGTCTGGGCGGATACCTCAACTAGAGCCAAAATCTCTCCTAACTCATATTTTGGCCCATAACTTTCCATCTGCA